CTCCTCCCCCCCCCCCCCCCCCAATTAGTATTATCAATTGATTAATAGGATGTATTGCTCATAAAGCTTATCTTAGAAGCTATTGGTTTGATCTTGAGATATATGTACTAACAGGGTATTTTCGAAATGTAACATAAAAAATGACTACTTTAAGTCTTTCATATTTGGCTGCAATTCAAAACCCGCCCCTCAAATTTGGTCACATTTTAAAACTTCTGCCTCGAATTTGGGCTAGGAATCAAGATTGCTCATATAGTCTTTGTTTGAGTCATTGGATAGGTCGTGTCAAGTGGTTTCAGTCCGTTTGTCTAGATTGAGGTTTTCATAGAAGTTTAATATTGTTCGTTAATTTTGGCTGACCGTATTAGGTAAGTCTACAAAAAATGTCAATTACAGTAGCAAATAGATATATCTTTATTTATAATTAAAAAAAATAAAAATAGAAAATATTTTAGCTGCGATCTAAACTCGTTGACATGAATTCAGATAAAATTATAATATATTGCTAAGTGATGCTTTGCCACTTACCATGTTTGAAAATCTTATAACGCCACTAAAAGGACATGTTGTACAAGATTCACCAGCCTAAACTTCCTATGTCACACTGCATGCAAGAATTGTTAATTTAAGCCTTTTGGGGTTACATCTCTTTGACATTAATCATTAATATTCACATCCTTTTCTGATTTTTCAACTATTTTAATTCCTATTCAAAATTTGATACAAGACATCAATATCAAGCGGTCATTGTAACTAAATTTTAATTAGAAGGGAATAACATCATTATACTTATCAAATTAACTATCATATGTCCAAAATCATATTGATTAAGTGGACTTTAAAAGTTCGTTTATAAAGTTACGATTTGCCAAATCAGGAACAATTTACATCACTGACTAGCACACCTTCCTTCACAAATAAATTAATTTGTTCGACTACATGGACCGATTCCTTCTCTATCTAACCATGCTTGTCATTTATCTTGGTACAATGTCTTAGACATTATCCATAGATGTTAACATCGTAAAAACTGTACCCACTGGAATTGTAAAGTGAAATTTTTGAATTCTCTTTTCAAAAGTAATTTGAATTTTAAACCCATATGACTAGTCGTCTTAGAATGTTCCAATAAATATGGTACAGTTCAGGTACAAATCATGTTTGTACAATAAATAAATCCAGCTTTCATGCTTCGTAACATATATACATATAAAAAAATAAAAATAAAATAAAAGACACTGTAGACCTTTAAAGGAGAATTTTAAGAAATTAAATAACTTGATTTTAATATGACTAGACGTGACAGACAGTCAGGGGAGCCATCACATTAATGAACTTGAAATTTTAGTTGGAAAATGGAAAATGTGTTAATTATTAGCCCCTGTTTGACCCCGTTACCTCAAAATGAAAATGGGAGAATGATATTTTTTTTAAAAATGAGCGGTTGAAAAAGAAGAAATTTTTTTTGATTTACGTGTAATATTATTTTATAGAAGATTATGTGGTTGAAAATATGAAAGAGAAAAATAGAATGTAATGCAAGTTAATTTAATGGAGATCGAACAAAGGCTTAATGTTAAGTTCAACTATGTAGGGTTTTCCATTTTTCAGGACTGCTATACATTTCACGGTAGCCGTAGATAGAAAAATTATGTCCCTATTTCCCATCCATTAAATCAAAATTTCTTTCTTAAACTAATTTTCAACCACACATTTATACAATAAAATATTTTACAAGTAATTTTTTTTTTAATCATACATTCTCCAAAAAAATTACCATTTCAAAACTCATTTTTTATGGATGTGAAACAAGGGATATGTTGATTTTGGCTAGTTGTATATTATGAGGTTTTACGATATTTGATTGATGTTTAAATTTTAATTAAGTCATACAATTTTTGCTAAAAATTAAAATTTAATAATAGTTAATAAAATATGTGATTGAATAATTGTTAAAAATTGTGAATGTCATGAAATGCGTGATAGAAAATGAGAATAAAGAAGTGAGTTTCTTTCCTCTAGACTTATTGGCCATTCGTAGGACCACAATTTCCATTTGATCAATAAAGTCATAAACCAATGAAAATGCGGGTGGGGTCCTCTAGCCATCAATGTTGGGTTTTATTAAAAGAGGAACGGGCATAACATAAAGAAATTGCTCATTTTTATCTTAAAAAAAGTAATCAAGTGTCTCGAATTCAAATTATGGAAAAAAATCTTTCTTGCTATCAAAATAAAAAATATATGGAAATAAATTGCTACACTTTTCGAATCTTGATTAGTATTTTAATTGTCAAACTAAATTACCCAAACCCTCCTATAAGTTGTCCTTGTTTTCTTGATACAATCTTAAAGGATGATGCCACTAAAACAACCAATTGATGTATTAATATTAGATATTGACAATTAATAATTGCGTAAACATGATAAAGCTCCTTATATATAGGTTATTTTTTCTTTATATTGTTAAGTTAGCCATGTATGAATTACTTCATTTTGAATTTACGCGTTCTCATTAGTACAAGTTCTATAATGAGGCATTAATTACCTGTGTCTCTATCGACGCTTCAAATGGAACTCTAATTGATGCATCTGATCCTATTGTTTACCCTAGTGTAAAATATTACATATGCAATTAAAACTTGAAACCTACAAGGTTGAATAACATTTTGTCAAGAATTTAGTTCATTAGCAACGACAATGAACGGATAAAAATATTTCATCTAGTCGACTTTCACAAGTTTTCAAATTTAAACTTATATTTTATGCACAAAATTCAAAGATAATAGCACATTAGCTTTTTGGGCATTAAGGAGGTGTTTTATGGTGGTTGGACTAGTGTTTCCTTAGCATTAAAATTGCTTTATCTTCCAACTTTGCTATCCACCACAAAAATAAAAATAAAAATAAAAATAAAAATGATAGATACTAAAAGACTAAACACAAAAAAGATAAGTAAAATAAAAAGACAAATGAGAAATCAATAATGGAGAAGGGGACCCCCGCATCCCCACTTCCACCGCCTATGCTACTACTCCATAGCAATAGAAGAAATGTCCATGATCATCTTCTCTCTTTTCTATCTTTATAATATAATTATATATACATAAATCTTTAGTTGGAAGGGGACGTTTCCTCGTTTTCAGCTGGACACACACAGTTGATAATACCATTTTTCTTACATCAAACACACAGACTGAAAAAGTTGTTTTTAGTTAATTGCAGAAGTCCTGCCCGCATCAAATGATTTGAAAACGAGGGTTAAATCAATGAAGTTACTGTGTTTGATCGATTCTCAGGTACTTCACCCAAAATCCACACATAACATATATATTTCAAATATTTATATATATTATCAAGCACATATACATATATTTTCTTGAATTATTCTTATTCTAATTGAAAGGAAAAGAAGAGAGAAACGTGTGGATAATTGAGTGAATAAAGAAGGGTACCTTTTTCACTGCCTTTTAAACTTCATCTCAAGCTTCACTTCTGTTCTTTCCTTATCTAGTCGTAGAAATCAGTTGCAGAGTTCTTGATTTTAGTCTGACATCTCTCTCTCTCTCTCTCTCTCTCTAAAATATTTATAGATGTATGTATGGATCACTCGTGAATGGTATCCCTGTTGCTATGGCCACTGAAACTTGATAATGGTGTTTATGGTGTCGCTGTAACTAAAATTCTTCCTCCTTTGCAGATGGTGACGATGGAGAACGTGCACACTCAGATTTTCATCAAACCAGGTATCAATAATATTAACCTAACCAATCCCTTTCTTCCCCATTCAAAACTCTCTTTCCTTAATAATAAATTCAGATATCAGCGTTTAAGTTTCTTTATTTTCGTCCACTTCCACGATATAGCTTCTACTGAAGAATCAATCAAGATTGTGGTTTCTTCTATGATGATATCAGATTTAACTATTTTTGAATTTTACAGGGCTAATCTGACACACTTTCAGTCAATTCTTGACAGATTTTTGAACACTAGTTTTTCAGCAAATGATTTGAACCCTATAAAACCAGCAAGTTTCATATATCCTTAACAGGTATGCTTTTTACATTTATATATCTCCCTGTTAGTGTGTGTTGGATTAATAGGATAATATTTTTTTTGAGGTTCAGATGGCAGCGTACTTTCATGGGAATTCGGAACTACAAGGAGGTGGTGATGGGTTACAAACCCTGATTCTGATGAATCCTGGCTACGTTGGATACTCTGACACCCAACCGCCGCCGCCGGGTGGCAGCAACTTCGTGTTTCTTAACTCCAATAACTCCGGGAATTCCCTAAACTTACCCCACGCGCCACCCTCTCAAACACAACACTTCGTTGGCATCCCCCTCCAAGCCACCACTTCCACCACCGTCACCTCATACCAAGACACTCACCCTCAGCAGGATCTCCCGGCCCTCAACGGCTTCCTCCCACGCGGTCAGTACAATCTTTACAACCCGTCGATGGACCTCACAGAGGCGCGTGATATTACACGCGCTCAACAAGGACTCTCTTTAAGCCTCTCTTCCCAGCATCCACCGGGGTTCGGGTCTTTTAGGCCCGAGAGTGACTCTCCATCCCGACCCCTTGTGACCACCAAACCATCGGTTCGTGGGGAAGGCATTAGGGTTTCCAGGGAATCACCTTCCTCGGCTTCTGGGGTTTCCAACGGTGTGACTGGTATGCAAAGTGTCCTTATGAGTTCTAAATATTTGAAGGCGGCACAGGAACTTCTAGAAGAAGTTGTCAATGTTGGCAAAGAAGTTAAGACTGCTACAGAATCAGGGAAGTCGACCTTCGGACAAGCCAAGATTACCGTTGGAGAATCCTCGGCCGCTGCAAATAGTATCGGAGAAACCAGTGGAAAACTCAGCGCTGAACTCAACACGGCAGAAAGACAAGAAATTCAGATGAAAAAAGCAAAGCTTGTCAACATGCTCGATGAGGTAAGACTCTTTGTCTCTCCCTGTGCATTGAGGTATATTTGATGACATCGCTGACACAAATATAATTATTTTATATTTTCCTATAATTAATCTATTAGAACGATGATTAATTGTTTTGATTTTTTTTTTTTTTTTTTTTGGTTAAGGA